CCCAATTAACGCCCACACCAGATGACTACATAACTGTATCAGCACTTTGAAATGCTAAGTGTTGTTTGCAAATTTTTCTCAAGTCTGAAGACGACCTGGGGATCCAGTGTCGAAAATTTACTCAATAAACTTACTCATTTCGCAAAGGATGCCTTTCCATGAAATTAAATTTCTTGGGATGCCTGCCTTTCAGTTTATACGAAAAAAAATGAATTCTTATTCATATGAAAATATAACCATCGCACTATAACAAAGCGAAAAATAAGTGCCACAGTAGTGCTTTTGCTAAAAAGCTGAGGTCGTTTGATGCATTACGCCTGTATGCGTCTATGTCAAGCTCATTTCCGCAGAAGTTTACCATGAACTCTCACTGTTTATGATATAGGCCTTAGAACAGTAATCCTTGGATAGAACACTTAACAAGCTACTGAAATATGGAAATATGCCGGAAAGTAGTCAACTTTCGACAATCTAACCAGCATCTTTATTAGTCAATTTTGTTATTCAGATCTTTTACTTAAAGGTACGTGGTCTTGTTTACCCAGCTTGTAATTGAACTTGGTATCACTGACGGACACCATTTTCAAGTTCTTTTTTACTTACTACGCGGATTTAAATCAGGCTGCCCTCAGATGTTTCGTGTTCTTTAGCCTACCTCGATAGTCTGACCGTCAGTTTGGACAAGGTTCATGGTATATCCCAAGGTAACGTCGCGATTGGGTGATTGCTTGCGCAGGAAACAGGTCCAAGTGAGCGCTGCTTTCTACCGCATCTAACGCACACTCTCACATTTTCAAAATTAGATCATACTCAATGCAAGAAGATGGGATGCGGGAGAGGGCGCAGGAGGCTGGCGCGGCTGGACTCACAGACTTACAGTAGATTCCCTATCTCATGAAGTGACACCCGGAATTCTGAAATGCATTTTCGATTCAAACATATTAATTTCAGATTTTTGTAATAGAGTCGATCGTACAGCCTAGTCTCAATATATTTAGGTCACGTCTGGATGCCGGCTTTTTAATGAGCTTCTATCTGACCGCTAAATAAAAGTATGCACTATAAAAAGGGGCTACTTATGTAGTATGCCTAACTGTCATTGATTTTTGTTGCCTTCATAATTTCAAATATATTTTATGAAAAAACATGCACGAAAAAAAATTTTCTTGTTCTTATCTGGTAGCAAATTACGCCTTCTTTAAATTTTATACATAAAAAAGGGTGCCTTGTGGTTTTAAAAGATTTTTAATTTTAAGCTTTTTTACCATTTTAGGTGTCATTCATAGAACATCGTATCCGTCAATTTTTTAAGGCTGCCTTTACTGTATAAAGCACGCTCCAAATCTATTGCAACATTTTATGTGAACTATGTGAGATTTTCTCCAAGCTGTGGACAAAAACGTACATTTTCTTAAACAGGAGGTAAACAGTGCGCAGTTTGTAAACCTTGAATTCCATTGTTGCAGTCACTAGGTTTCAAAACTATTCGGCAATTTAGAAACTTTTTGAAAACCGAAAGGTACCCACTCTTCAAGTATAAAATTTAAAATAGGTATAATTTTCTACCAAATGAGTACAAGGATCAATTTTTTATGCATGTTTTCCATAAAATATATTTGAATCTATAAAAGCAGTCAAAATCAATGACAAAAAGGCATACTACATAAGTAGTTACCTTTTATAGTACATATTTTTTTGGCAGTCAGCAAGAAGCTCGTTAAAAAGCCGGCATCCTGAAGTATCCAAAATATGTTGAGATTAGGCTGTACGACCATCTCTACTACAACCATCCGCAATTAATATGTTCCAATCAAAAACTCATTTCAGAATTCCGGGTGACGTTTAATGAGATGGGGAAGTTAATGTACCTTGGATTCATCGGATTGGGGATGTCACAGAGGCGACATTAAGATGAAGCCATTGCAACCTGACTTTCAAACTGTCAGTGGGGCACTCTACATAAACACACACCCAGCTGACTGCACTGTCAGAGTTATCCTGTCAGTTGGCACGCGTGCAAGCCACGGCTTTTTAACGCACTGTGGTAGGTTTTTCTGTTTCGGATTGCTTATAATGATACCAAAGCACTTAATCATCGACCTAATTACCTAATCTCAGTCGCAGCCTCCAGCCACTGCCCGAGGCGATTATTTGCCAAGAAGGAAAAAAAGGCTTACTGGCTGAATGCATAATAAATTCGTCTGCGCCCGCCGCATGCACAAACTGGCCCCACAAGCACAAGTATCAGGATTTCACACAAAATATGATGAGTGGTTCCCAGCTCTCATGTTTGAGATTGCCCGTGATTATGCTAAGAAGGAGCCAATGAGGCCTGGCTCTCAGCCACCGGTCAGCCAGTCCGTATTAAAAAAATGGGCTCACTACGAGATATGTGTTCAATCGATATTTTGCTGTTTAATCGTCAGTTGTCCTTCCTATTAAAGACCATTTCAGCTCTGCTTCTTATCTGTCAATAACGGAGAAAGTAGGATATGCATCTTTTTGTACTTTAACGAGGAAACTGTCGATACCATCTCCCTCGATGGTCAAAACGCTGAGAACTCGCTTCAAACGTTTGCACAAACCTGCAGTTTTCGATTTCGTTAAACATTTTGCTGATTGTCTCAAAAGAAGGCCGACATTCGGGAATCTCCGACCATGCGGTTTCAATCAGCGCTTTGACTGTTGGAGCTATGTGCTCCTTTTCAATCTGCAACGTAAAAAAAACTTATTCTTATCTGAAAACTAATCTAATGGTCGCGCCCACAAAAGGTGTCGGCTAAATATGCTTTGCTTCAGAAAAAAGGCACCTCGGAGGACAGTTGAACACGATCAATATAAGCAAGTAGAGTTAGGAGAATCTGAACTGCAGTACCTTTTTGTCCAATCAGAATCGTTGACATTTTCTGCCAAGCAAACATCCTAAGTAGCTGATCTATAAAAGTTGATTTTGCTCGAGTCTGGATATATTTGGTGTTACATGGTCCAATCGCGTCTTTATTGGAAACTGCCTAGGTAATTCAACAAAGTTTCATTATTGCTAAATGGGATTACAGTCCTATCAACCAAATAATTTACTCGGGCACCTATTGATATATCGGCTATTTCGTATCCACAGTTCTCTACAATTCAGCTGAATTCTTGGCCAAAATATGGGCGTGCTTGAATAAGGACGGTTAAACGCCAAAACATTTTATTCCGGTCCTTCCTCAATGCTCAAGTTTCATACAACCGGGAATTGAACTCCATGCCTCCAAGATCAGGGAATTAGATATAGCGTGCAAACCAGCTAACATTCCATTCCCACATTTTTTAACGCCTATGTTGCTCCAGATGCGTGAAAGTCTCAAATGACAACATCGTTTGGACATTAACAGGACAGAATAATGACAAACCTTTGGTCTGAATGCAGGGTTCTCTGAGCGTATTCTTTGGAGAATCTCAGGGATTGTCAGGTCGCAGTCTCCGAAGGGTGGTGAATGACAGAATAATTCATATGCAATTATGGCAAAGGAGTAGACGTCACCCTTCTGGGTTCCCAGTGGATGCTGCAGGGGCTGTCGCAGTAATTCTGGTGCGGTCCAGAGGAGGTCTAAAATAATTCAACAATTACATTATTAAACCTACGGTTTCGGGTGTTTTTATAAAATAGTCTTTCAGTATTATTTTTACAGGACCGAGGCAGTGTTCTCGTGCAATACAAACATGCAATTGTATACGACTTTCTTTTAGCATGAATTATGGCGACTCTGGAGAAATAGTATCGCTCGTTTTAGATTGACGTACAGTTGTCCAAATGTGAAATCAGTCTGTCAATTTCTAATTGGGAAAGTAGTACAACTATTATCCACAAAGCTCGTTGGATAGGGGGGGAGCGCTTTTATCTGACGTGGAGAGAATGTTAAATACATAAAGTGCACTAGTCTACCATGGTAGTGCCATACTTTCCGGAACATAAGAGACACTTAAAAGTCATTAATTTTTTTTCAAAAATGACAGTGTATCTTATAACTCGGCGCCGTGAACCACATAAAATCGCTTCGAGGTCAGTAATCAGAATTATTCAACAATCAAGGCGCACTGACGTTCTTTTTGGAAAAAAAGTAAAGGCTTTCAAATGCGCCTTGTAGTCCGAAAAATACGGTAGAATTTAACTCGCTATCATCCCAGTTGTGGGACAATCGGTGCTTCGATGACCAATTACAGAGGCACATGTAGAATACTACTGGAGAAGAATTCTTTGCCTTCCGGCTGCAATCGCTCATGATCCAATCAATAACCTCCCAACCATTGATTCAATGCATGTTAAGCTTCCAACGAAGTTCTCTGTGTATCAAATCCAAGGAGTATTCAAGTAGGCTGTATTGTTAAAAGAGGCAAGTTCAACGAGAATTTTTAATTTTGCACCAATGGAATAGAAAAATGTACGGCGGACTTAAGGATCCATTCAGAAGCGAGTCACTCACCCTCGGAGTCATGTTGCTCGAAAAATCTGCTGAAATGCTGGAATTTGCCCACGCCGAAGTCGGTTATCTTCAAAACCCATCGTACACTGATAACGCAGTTCCTAGATTTAAGCCTTCCATGTACTCTCACGAAGGACTTGTGCAGAAAAGTCATGCCCTGAATCGCGTTTTGAATTCAGCATGAAAAAACATGACAACATGAAACTAGAAAAAGCTTACTGATAGATAAATATTTCATAATGGCCGACGGTTATTTGACTATTTAACCCTAGTCAAGAGG